CCAGGGCAACAGAGGAAGCCTACAAGGGTTACCAGGGCAACAGAGGAAGCCTACAAGGGTTACCAGGGCAACAGAGGAAGCCTACAAGGGTTACCAGGGCAACAGAGGAAGTCTACAAGGGTTACCAGGGCAACAGAGGAAGTCTACAAGGGTTACCAGGGCAACAGAGGAAGCCTACAAGGGTTACCAGGGCAACAGGGGAAGCCTACAAGGGTTACCATGGCAACAGGGGAAACCTACAAGGGTTACCAGGGCAACAGGGGAAGCCTACAAGGGTTACCAGGGCAACAGAGGAAGCCTACAAGGGTTACCAGGGCAACAGAGGAAGCCTACAAGGGTTACCAGGGCAACAGAGGAAGTCTACAAGGGTTACCAGGGCAACGGAGGAAGTCTACAAGGGTTACCAGGGCAACAGAGGAAGTCTACAAGGGTTACTAGGGCAACAGAGGAAGTCTACAAGGGTTACCAGGGCAACATAGGAAACCTACAAGGGTTACCAGGGCTACTGGAATGGTCCAGTGTGGTTGGGCTTCCGTGGCGTCAGAGGCCGACTTCGGTAATACAGGCTTGTGATAGGCTGTCGACGTCAGTACTTCATCAGCTAGTATTCTGCCAGAAGTGACGTCATTTCTTCATCAGCTAGTACTCTGCCAGAAGTGACGTCAGTACTTCAACAAGTACTATGCCAGAAGTGAAAACAGTACTTTATCAACAAGTACTCTGCCAGAAGTGACGTCAGTACTTCATCAACAAGTACTCTGCCAGAAATGACGTCAGTACTTCATCAACAAGTGCTCTGCCAGAAGTGACGTCAGTACTTTATCAGCAAGTACTCTGCCAGAAGTGACGTCAGTACTTCATCAACAAGTACTCTGCCAGAAGTGACGTCAGTACTTCAACAAGTACTCTGCCAGAAGTGACGTCAGTACTTCATCAATAAGTACTCTGCCAGAAGTGACGTCAGTACTTCATCAATTAGTACTCTGCCAGAAGCGACGTCAGTACTTCAACAAGTACTCTGCCAGAAGTGACGTCAGTACTTCAAGTACTCTGCCAGAAGTGACGTCAGTACTTCAATAAGTACTCTGCCAGAAGTGACGTCAGTACTTCATCAATTAGTACTCTGCCAGAAGTGACGTCAGTACTTTATCAGCAAGTACTCTGCCAGAAGTGACGTCAGTACTTCATCAACAAGTACTCTGCTAGAAGTGACGTCAGCACTTCATCAAGTACTCTGCCAGAAGTGACGTCAGTACTTCAACAAGTACTCTGCCAGAAGTGACGTCAGTACTTCAACAGGTACTCTCAGCAGGTAGTCTCATATTTGCAAACAAAAAAATCCAAATTTATATCAGATTTAAAATTGATCAACAATTCTAGGCAACATTTTTCTCGAAGGTTTGCGTGCAGCCAGCAGCAACAGCCTGGTTGATCAGGCTCTGATCCACCAGGAGGCCTGGTCTCAGACCGGGCCGCGGGGGCGTTGACCCCCGGAACTCTCTCCAGGTAAACTCCAGGTAAGATTGAGACACTTATGCACCATATGGGAATCTTTATTTAGGAAACGTTTCGCCATATAATGGCTTCATCAGTCCAGTACAAAACAGAAAGGTGCAAGGAGAGGAGGAGATTGAGGTAATCAGTCCTTCAGCCTGGAGTCGATGTGTTCAGTCCGTCAATCTTGTAGAATGTACAGCATAGGGCCTCACCTGACTACAGTATATAAGCCACGTCTACGGCCCTGTGCTGTACATTCTACAAGATTGATGGACTGAACACATCGACTCCAGGCTGAGGGACTGATTACCTCAATCTCCTCCTCTCCTTGCACCTTTCTGCTTTGTATTGGACTGATGAAGACACTGTGTGGCGGAACGTTTCCTAAATAAAGATTCCCATATGGTGCATAAGTGTCTCAATCTTGAACTTGTCGGTTTTCAAAACCATTCATCACAACATTTTTCTCCATGAATTGTGGGTTGTGCATTGTTCCAGCCAATGTATTAAGTAGTATTATGTAGAAACACGTCATACAACCTTGTGTGCAGACGTATTAAACGACCTTGCGTACAGACATCAAACATCCATGGTGACGGAACACCTCCATCATTTACACACATCCTAACCTGAATTTCATTGTCCTTGAGAAAATACTTGACATTTTTCATCTGTCTCTCTTATCTTTCCTCTCACAAGCCTCTGTCAAATATAAAAATGCAACAAGGAAGTCTGTTCTCAGACCCAGCTGCAAGATCACAACTCTGGAAACAGGACACAGGTATGTAATTGTGCAAATGGTATGAGCGAGCGACTCATGTTATGACAAGGTTAATAATGACTTTACAAACACATGCAACACGCCACTAATTGTGAATGAGTTAATTACTGAGAACTTAACGAGGAGTGGCTGTGGCCGCGTGTTTATTGATTCACCCGGGGGAGTGGTCAACTAATTAACAAAGCCCTAACGTGATATACCAAGCAGTAAGCCAATTATCCGATCAATTAATAAAGGGTAATGGAAACGTTTCGCCAAATCTGGGACATAGTGTAGATGAAGCCTGCTAACGTTTTGCATCAGTTTTCCCGGTTTCCTTTTTGTCCCACCACAGATATATCTTACAAATTATTCCTGTGTGTTTCTTAATGGTTTATGTTCCTATATTTCCTTTCCCATTTATGAGACCGTATTGCGGGGGCGATGATTCCGAAACTATTAACGGATAAGAGTAAGGAAAAACGTACGACAAGTCTGCGACAGGAAGTGAAGCAAGCAGATATTATCTTAAACGGGGTGTCAGTCAATTTGTCTACCTTGTGCTATTCTCCACACAATGTCTTGTGTTATCCTCCGCACAATGTCTGCCTTGTGTTGTTCTCCACAAAATCGTTACCATATATACCTAACTCAATATACAAAGACCATTGCATTATGCCAGTTGTCGTCCTAAGGAAAACGTGAGATTTTAAGTGAAAGAATTCTCGATATTTTGAAAACTCTTGATTTCCTAGTTTTATGTCATAACTGACTTCACGGTGTATGTTAATCTAGGTTGAACTCAGGGTAACGCAGATAATGAAGTCTAACAAGGTGTGTGTGTGTATGTGTATACTCTCCTATTTGTGGTTGCAGGGGTCGAGTCACAGCTCCTGTGTGTGTGTGTGTGTGTGTGTGTGTGTGCGCGCGCGCGCGTGTGTGTATGTGTTCACTCAGTGTAACAGGGAGTCTGGTCTACTTACTAGATGGCACTATAAACTTCGGTAATAGATATCGTCAAATTGGTTTAGAAAGACACGTGAGGAAATTCTCTGCCCCAATATATACTGTCTTTTTAACCTTTTTGTTAAAAATTATCAAGGGTCCGAGAACCGAAACGTTTTCTAATAAATATGTCCTAGTGTTTGCTCACGTGTCTTTCTAAACACACTAGATGGAGCTCTATGACAGGAACATAGGGAAAGAAACGTTGTCTTCCTAGACCAACGTATATTTTGGTACGTTTTGGTTGCAACGTTTTCCTAATAATGGGATGACTCCTCTATTTTTCACTTTCTAGAATGAGGATGAACAACACCTGATTACTCTGTAGTAAATAATATCATTATTGCTACAGCTCGTGAGTAACTTCATTATACCGTCCCTGTAGCTCGGTCTAATAATATCATTAGCACGCACTCTGGCAGTTATTTTTTCATAATGTTATTAATAAATTTATTAAAAAAAATTCTGTATTCGGCATGTTGTCTCCTTCAAAATCCGCATGACTTGTGCACACATCGAAACTGATTCTTCAGTTCTGGTAGGAGCGGTAGGATCACCGAGCAATGATTGTTTCATTCATTCTTTAAGATTTCTCTCATTTCTTTGTTGTCATTTGTGTATGAATCTCCTTCGAGTCGAGGGCTTATACTGGTAGATGCATGCCGCATTATTACTATTATTACTATGATTAATAATATTCTTGATAAATCATACAGCGCTTGTGGAATGGGACTCGGTTATATATGATCTCATTATTGGTATATATTGTCCGGACACTTACAGTACTTACACAGCCCATCCACTACTGTCTCACTACTCTGCAGGATGGCTGGGTTACACTCGCCTGGGCATTTCTGATCGTCGTGGTATACATTATGGAATTATAAAAATATATACTAGAAACAATATAAAATGTACAATTGTGTAAAACTATGAAGGTTGCACCGTCCTTCCCGGTATTATACCCGTGACCTACCAGACTGGAGCCGTGTGTTACCCCCTGACTACGACAGGCGCTACATAAAACAAACTTGGTAGTAGTTCAGCTTGCCCGCCCTGTGCCCTCAGTTTTCTGTATGGTTCAATTTTCCTGTTCAAGTACCATTCGCGGAGATTGGATATCCATTACTTCATAAAATAGCGCAGGATAGAATGAGGGGAGTGGCAGGGACCTTTAATGTAGAGCCAAGTTCCCACTAGTGGGGAATGACGGTCTATATTGTGTGTGTGTGTGTGTGTGTGTGTGTGTGTGTGTGTGTGTGTGTGTGTGTGTGTGTGGCGGAGGGAGGGAGAGGGGACTGTGTATCAGTTCATCCACAACTAACCCACAAATTGGAAACTGAAATTAAAAGGGTCAGTCTACGTATTGGTAGATCAAAGACTGATGGGTAGACTTCAGAATGTGTATATTTATAGAGGGGCCACAGATACATCAGATCATTATTTACCTGTAGCTACACTGAGAGTAAAAGATTGTTGGGATACAATTCAGTCCATCGTGGAAAATTATAGTCAAGTTGCGATAATAGTTCAGGAGGAAAGCGTCATTTAATTTTTCATTATTAATTAGCGGTTATTAGCTGTAATCCTTCGAGAATAAATGAATGCAACTGGACAAGTATGCTTGAGATTGGTAAGTAATGTTTAATTCAGAACAAGCCAGGTACCGTCAGTGGTCACTTCTAAGAGTGGGGACACTAGTAGTATTTGTCTTACCTTGAGCATCTTGACCCTGCAGGGGCTGGCGCCAGGGGAAGCCCGGAGAGGGGCGGGGTGACGTGGCCCGTGTGAGGACCCCCTGGGGTGTCCACGACCCCCAGGGGAGGATCGCTACCGGCGACCCAAGTGACACACGCCCACGCCCCCCAGCCCACGCCCCGCCATGAACATCGCCAAGCTGCGACACACGTTTATGCGCTCTCGGACGCCTACGGGCGCCGAGATGAAACAACAAAACAGCCTTGAGGTTCCGCCACAGATCCGCTCTGCCTCGTTCGACGAGATGCAGCTCAAGCCGGCTCGGCGAGAGTCGTCGTCATCGTCCTCTTCGCCGGCAGAACGGCAGTCCTTCCTGCTGCGGGTGCCGTACCTCGGGCCGAAGCGTTCCAAAAGCTTCGACTCGGGCTGCGGCGATGTGGACGACACCGACTCCTCCCGCAAAAAGAACTCGCGTCCTTCCTCACTTGACAAAGCGAGCCATCAGTGCGTCCATTGCGTATACATAGATGAGCTCAGCCGACGCTTCAGCTGCGAGGGCAGAAGACTCACCCACAACATGTCACTAGACTTCATGAGTAGTCTGGACAGCTCGCGAGAGGAGGCGGAGGACGAGCTGGAGGAAGACTGGGACGAGGACAGCTCCAGCGACGAGCTGCACGAGGTGATCTGTGGCATCAAAGTCACGTTAAGTCCCAACTCTCCCTCGTCGGCGTCTCCCACGCAAGAGGAAGTGCCGATTCCGACAGCGGCTACCCCTTCGCCGCGCATTAAAACCGTGTCCCCGAAGCTGGAGCGTCAGCCTGCCATTTTCTGCATGAACACAAGTACCGAGCTCAGTTCACAGGAAAACAGCGTTGATTTAAGTGACGGTGGTTACAGCCACCATGGTTCCTATTTGTACCTGGGTTCCTCTAGTGATTACGGCGAAGGGGAGCAAAGTGGGGAACAGGGGAGCGGCGGGGAACAGGGAAGCAGTGGGGAACAGGGAAGTAGCGAGAAGGGAATCGGAGAGGAAAAAGGGAGGGGTGGGGAGAGGCAAGAAGGAAAGGAGGAAGGGGTGACAGACGTGTTCTTGGAGGTGCCTCCCCGTCGAGACCGCGCGGCTTCCCTCGACGTGTCCTTCGCTACCTTCCCCAAACCCGAGGAACTGATTAAGGCCGCGACCGCAGGACTCACACGCTCAGTCTCCCTCGAGCCCCCAAAATCTCTCCGATCTAAGAGCATCGATATTGAACTACCCACTGAAGAGGACGGCAACTACAAGGTGGTGGTGACCTCTCCCAAGACCAGGAGGTAGGTACATCTTCCTTGTCTGCATGCAGTAACTCTCTCACTTAGTTGTCAACATGGAAACACAGAGATTAGCGTTCACTAGGTACGACGACACAAGTTAATAAGGTACATAGTATAGTTAAAACATTCTCTTGCTGCACTGACGAGGGTAAGTTGATCATGCCTGTCGTAATATTTTGTTTTATTGTTCATCTTCAGATTATTAGGTGCAGAATTTTTGTGTGCATTAATGTTTGATTATTATTTTATTAATTATTATTATTATTATTATTATTATTATTATTATTATTATTATTATTATTATTATTGTGAAGAGCTAAATGTGTGTTGGTTATGCAGAGCAAAAAGTGGTGTAGGCTTGATCCTCCGTCCGTCTACAACATTAAAGAAATACTGCCAAGGATGGCAGCCCAACACAGGAGATACGAGGCAGTTCATGAACCTGTCACTCAGGCGGAAGGTATTAATTAATCTACTGACCCTCGTAGAATACTAATGTATTTTACCGACCAGTATTCTGTAGGTTAACAAAAATATTGTTAACTCGTTAATGTTCCACCTAATCCTACTCTAGTTCAGTGTTTATCACTCTTGCTATATTGCGTCCGAATCACTTTCTAAAACCACAGAATAAAATGCGTTTTATTAGCGGATTGAGAAATAAAGTATTGATCCCACTCCTCCCCTCCCTCCCTCTTCCCAATCCCTCCCTCCATCCCTCCCTCCATCCTCCCTCCCTCCCTCCCTCCCCTCCCTCCACCCTCCCTCCCTCCCTCCCTCCCTCCCTCCCTCCCTCCCTCCCTCCCTCCCTCCCCCCCTCTATCCCTCCTCTATCCCTCCCTCTATCCCTCCCTCTATCCCTCCCTCCATCCCTCCTCCCACCCCTCCCACCCTCCATCCCTCCTCCCTCCCTTTCCTGCATCCCACCATCCCTCCTCCCTCTCCCTCCCTCCCTCCTCCCATTATACTGCATTATACATGCAGTATAATGCTACCTTTTATTCATAAACGTTTCGCCCGCAGTGAGCGGAACGCTTGCATTTGTCATTATCCATTCATTCATTCTCTGCAGTGCTGGATGACCCATGCGATTTTAGCGATTTTTAATAATAACCATTATTCACCTCACTCACTTCTGAAAACATGCACATACACACACACATACACACATACACATCACACACACATCACACACACATACACACACACACACACACACCACACACACAACACACACACACACACAACACACACACACACACACAGCAGCAGCCAACATGGTTTCAGGGACGGGAAATCCTGTGTCACAAACCTACTGGATTTTCTATGACATGGTGACAGCAGTAAGAAAAGGGAAAAGGGGGGTGGGGGGTTGATTTTTTTGGGACTGCAAGAAGGCGTTTGACCAGTTCCACACAAGGTTTGGTGAAAAAACTGGGGGACCAAGCAGGGATAACGGGGAAAGGGCACTACAATGGATCAGGAATACTTGTCGAAAAAGCAGCGAGTCAGGTACGTGCGAGGTTCAGAGGGGCACCGGACCACGGGTCCCGCAGGGGTCAGTCCAGGCCCAGTGCTGTTTGGGTATTTTGAACGAATGAGGGAAAGGAATAGACCTGAGGTGCCCCTTTTGCGAGAGGGAAAGTTGATGAGAAGAATTCCTCGATCGAAGACCAGGCAGAACTACAAAGGGATCGGGGACAGGCTGCAGCCCTGTCCAGAAATTTGGCCCCGGGAGTTCAATCCCCCCAAGTGCAAAGTCAAAAGATGGGAAGGGCAAAAAAGGCCCCCAGACGGAGTACAGTCTAGGGGGTCAGGACTAAAAACCTCACTAAAGGAAAAAGATTTTGGGGGAGTAAAACACCAGGCACATCTCCTAAAGCGCACATAACCCAAAATAACTGCGCAGCATGGGGGCCCTAGCAAACCCAAACAGCATTCCGCACTTAATAAGGAATCATTCAGGCCCCTGTACCCTGTATGTTAGGCCCTTTTGGGAGTATGCGGCCCCTTTTTTGGAACCCACCCCCAGCCACACGGGGGAAAAATAGAAAAGTGAAAAGGTTTTGGGCAACAAGACGCCCAGAGCAAGAGGTATGTCCTACGAAAAGGGGTTTTAAGGGAAATAAAACCTGACAAAACCCGGGAGGACAGGAGAGATAGGGGGACATGATAACGACATACAAAATACTGAGAGGAAAATTGACAAGGTGGAAAAAGCGGATTTCCAGAGTTTGGGACCAGAAACAAGGGGACACAGTTGGAAGCTGAAGACACAGATGAACCCAGGGATGTTAGGAATATTTCTTCGCCACGGGTTTAGTCAGTAATGGGAATGTTTGGGGGGGAGTAGTGGACAGGATCCAACATAGCTTTAAAAAGGGGGTATGATAAAGCCACGGGTCAGGGAGAGTGCCTAGAGCGATCAGGAAGAGGCGGGGGCCAGGGGGTCGGACTCGACCCCCGCAACCTCAAATAGGGAGACACACACACACAAAACAACACCCACACACACAACACACACACACACACACACACACACACACCACACACAAACACACACCCAACACCACACACCACACCACACAACACACACCACCCCATCCACACACACACACACACACACATACACACACATACACACACCCACCCAACACCACACCCCCACCACACCCACCACACACACACCACACCACACCACACACACCCACACCACACCACACACACACCACACACACACCACCACACACCCAACACACACACACCACACACACACACCACACACAACACCACACACACACAAAACCACACACACACACAAACCCACACACACACCCACACCACCACACCACACACACCACACCACACACACACACCACACACACACACACACACACACACACCACACACACACACAACACACCCACACCAACACAGGGACGAATGTTTCAGGATGGGAAACAGAACAAGGGGGCCCCCGTTGGGAAATGAAAACCCCGATAGTCATAGGGATGTTAGAAAGTATTTTTTTAGCCTTAGATTGCAGGGAAGTGGAAAAATCTGGAGAGTGAAGTATGAAAAAAGTTCCTACATAGCTTTAAAAAAAAGGGAAAGACAAAGATCATGGGGTAGGGAGGAGCGAATTAGTTGACCATGAAGAGGCGGGGCCCGGGGCTATGAAACGACCCCTGCTATCACATCAGGGAGTACCGCACGCACGCGCGCGCACACACACACAAACCACAACAGGGGAAAGGAGGGCCCAAGTGTCTACGACAATGCCTTTGAAAGCTATTACCTTTACTCTCCATCACACAGGCGCGCGCGCGCATGCGCGCCTGGTTCTACAAGGGTCACTATATAGTACATCCAAAACAGAGAATTTTTTTTTTTAAATGTTCAAACTCAAAATTCTTGCTTTACTTTCATAATTAATTTGTATATTTTTTTTTTTTTTACCTTTTGAAGCAAAAATATTAAAAATATCGACGTTCATTTAAGCGGTCATCCACTCGCTGCTGTTCCCAATTTGCATATTTCACTCGCTATAAGGTCACCCAAAAATTTTCCTCTCTTATATAACAGTGTTTTGAAATTCTCTCTTTACCGTCCTGACATTATTCATAGCGTTGTTCAGCCTGTGAAAAATACACTTTGAATGTTGCCACATGTTGTCTTGTTAATTTATTTATATCTGTTGATATTTTGTTGAGAATGTCCTGAGATTTTTCCCCTCATTTTTGGTGGTAGTATTTTTAATGTTGCTATTTTTTTAAGTAATATTGTTGTTATAAGTAATTGTATGGTAGCGAACTTAGAACAACTTGGTAGCAGTATGTGAATGTGTGTATGTAATATATATATATATATATATATATTTCCAACAAGTTGGTCGTCTCCCACCGAGGCAGGGTGACCCAAAAAAGAAAGAAAATCCCCAAAAAGAAAATACTTTCATCATCATTCAACACTTTCACCACACTCACACATAATCACTGTTTTTGCAGAGGTGCTCAGAATACAACAGTTTAGAAGCATATACGTATAAAGATACACAACATATCCCTCCAAACTGCCAATATCCCAAACCCCTCCTTTAAAGTGCAGGCATTGTACTTCCCATTTCCAGGACTCAAGTCCGACTATATGAAAATAACCCGGGTTTCCCTGAATCCCTTCACTAAATATTACCCTGCTCACACTCCAACAGATCGTCAGGTCCCAATTTATCATTCGTCTCCATTCACTATCTAACACGCTCATGCACGCTTGCTGGAAGTCCAAGCCCCTCGCCCACAAAACCTCCTTTACCCCCTCTTTCCAACCCTTTCGAGGACGACCCTACCCCTCTTTCCTTCCCCTATAGATTTATATGCTTTCCATGTCATTCTACTTTGATCCATTCTCTCTAAATGACCAAACCACCTCAACAACCCCTCTTCTGCCCTCTGACTAATGCTTTTATTAACTCCACACCTTCTCCTAATTTCCACACTCCGAATTTTCTGCATAATATTTACACCACACATTGCCCTTAGACAGGACATCTCCACTGCCTCCAACCGTCTCCTCGCTGCTGCATTTACCACCCAAGCTTCACATCCATATAAGAGTGTTGGTACTACTATACTTTCATACATTCCCTTCTTTGCCTCCATAGATAACGTTTTTTGACTCCACATATACCTCAACGCACCACTCACCTTTTTTTCCCTCATCAATTCTATGATTAACCTCATCCTTCATAAATCCATCCGCCGACACGTCAACTCCCAAGTATCTGAAAACATTCACTTCTTCCATACTCCTCCTCCCAAATTTGATATCCAATTTTTCTTTATCTAAATCATTTGATACCCCCATCACCTTACTCTTTTCTATGTTCACTTTCAACTTTCTACCCTTTTCACACATTCTCAAACTCATCCACTAACCTTTGCAATTTTTCTTTAGAATCACCCATAAGCACAGTATCATCAGCAAAAAGTAACTGTGTCAAT